GGCGTTGCAGATCCAGCTAGTGCGAGTTGAGAGCTCCCAGCGGACATTCGGAGTTCACAAGGTAGTTGCTTGACGTCCGCAGACCCGTGTTTCTCCCTCTTTATCATTTCTATCTCATATCAGACTTTTGTACTAGTTGTAGACCTTTCAGACTTGTGTTAGGTTTTATAGATGCTCATGACTAGTGACACCCCGGTTAGGGCTGTGTTGGGTTGTAATTCTACACTTTATTGACATTATCTGCTACTTAGTATTGCTATATTATGTTTTAAACTACTTTTATGTTATTTAACTATTTAAAAAGTGAATTGGGTTTAATTGGTTGGCCTTGTCTTCACGAGAGGCGCCATCACGACTTGGTTCGGGTTTAGGGTCGTGACAATGTACTTCTCTCATCACATATTCTGTTTGAGAAAGTCCTAGACATCTTGGTAAAGGTCCTCCGAGCATCTTTTGATATAGGTTTCTACGAACCAAACAGTAACGGGCAGCTTTTCGTCGAAATGACTGATCCTTTTTCTTGTCTTTAGGTAGAATTCCATACTGCAGAAAGTTAACAAACTCGTTTCTCCAATCCCATGTTAAATATTTAAATTTACCTCATTTTTATCTTGGTCAAGTGCCAAATGAAACAAATGTATTACAGTAGCATTTTCTGCATTCGTTACTTCTGCAATAGATGCAATATTAGCCAATGCATCTGCTTCCACATTTTCCTCCCTGGGTATTTGCACGATTTTCCATGATTGTAATTGTCGTGATTTTTCCAAATATTGCTGCATTCATACCTCCCTAGCTATGTAAGTCCACTGCATCTGGTTAACTACTAGTTGCGAATCACTTTTGATTATAATCCGCTCTATTTCGAGTTCCCGTGCCAGTTCCAGACCTGCAATTACAGCCTCGTACTTTGTTTCATTGTTAGTAATGGGATGACACTTTATTGCTTGTCTTATGATTTCCCCCGAAGGTGGGATTAGAACAATACCTAAATCTGCCCCTTTAACATTCGAGGAGCCATCAATAAATAGGGTCCAAGTACCCGAATTAGATCCGGTGAATGCCTATAGTTCCTTTTCTGCTTCAGGAACTATTCCTACGCTGAAATCTGCCACAAAATCTGCTAAAACTTGTGATTTTATCGCAGTTCTAGGTTGGTATACGATATCGTATTTATTGAGTTCTACATCCCATTTAGCTAACCTACCTGATAGTTCTTCCTTATGCAATATATTTCTTAGGGGATAAGCGGTCAATACAGAGATAGGATGACATTGAAAATAATTCCTCAACTTCTAGATGCCATAATTAATGCTAAAGCAAGTTTTTTTAAGTGAGGATATCGAGTTTCAGCATCCAACAAAGATTTGCTAACATAATAAATTGGAGATTGTTTACCTTTATCTTCTCGTACCAATACTGCACTTACCGCCATTTCTGACACAACAACATAGATGAGTAGCCTTTCTCCATCCTTCGGTTTAGCCAGTAGGGGTGAATTTGACAAATATGCTTTTAGATTTATGAGAGCTTGTTGACATTCATCAATCCACTCAAATTGGTTTTACTTTTTCAATACTGAAAAGAACTTAAAACTTTTCTCCGAGGATTGGAAATAAATCTTTTCAAAGCTGTTATCCTACCTGTCCATCTCTGCACCTCTTTTTTGCTCGTGAGTATGTCTGGTATCTCCTCAATGGCTTTTATCTGTGCAGGGTTTACTTCAATACCTCGATTAGAAATAAGAAAACCTAAAAACTTACCTGAAGCCACGCCAAAGGCACATTTTTCTAGATTTAACATGCGAAGAATCTAAAAAGTGTCCGACAAATACGGGATATGATCTCCTGCCTGTGCTGATTTGACTAGAATATCATCAATGTAGACTTCCATAGTCTTTCCCAGATGTCTTGAAACATTTTTGTTACCAATCTTTGGTATATGGATCCATCATTTTTTAGACCAAAAGACATGACTTTATAATAGTAAGTCCCTCTATCTGTGATAAAGAAAGTTTTTTCTTCATCTAAAGGGTCCATCTTTATCTAGTTATACCCTGAATAGGCATCTAAAAAATATAACAACTCATAACCTGGAGTAAAATCAACTAGTTGATCTATGTGCAGTAAAGGGAATGAATCTTTAGGACAAGCTTTATTTAAGTCAGTGTAATCTAGACAAACTCACCATTTTCCATTGTTTTTTGGTACTACTACAGTATTAGCTAGTCAGTTAGGATATTTTACCTCTCGTATTGACCTAATTTTTAAAAGTTTTTGTACCTCATCCTGGATCACCTGATTTTTGAATGATCCTTGCTTCCATTCTTCTTTTTGACAAGTGGATATGATGGATTTTCATTTAGCTTGTGGGTCATCATCTCCGGTGGTATACTTGTCATATCTGAATGCGACCAAGCAAAGCAATTTGCGTTAGCTTGTAAAAATTTGACAATTTTAGCTTTCATTCTCGGGCTTAGCTTCATTCCAACATAAACTTTTCTATCTGGCCACTACTCGGAAAGTGTGATAGCCTCGAGTTCTTCAATTGTTATTTTGATGTTTTTATTCTCTTCAGGCTCTTGAATGACATTAGGTCTTGAATATACATCTGTCTGTCTTGAACCGTTTTCAGTTGAGGTTTGTGTTCTTATGTCCTCAACTGAATTCTGTAGTTGCTATTTCTTATTTGCATCATCATTGCACAGGAAACTTAATAACTTGATGTAAAGTAAACGGTACAACATCCATATCATGAATCTATAACCTGCCAAGAATCATATTATAAGCCATGTCCATGTCTATCACCTGAAATTTTGTGTCCTTGACAACTCCTTCTGCAAATGTGGTAAGCACCATTTCCCCTTTTGTTACAACGTTTGAATTATCGAATACAGATAAGGTACGTGCTTTCAGCACCATCTTGTCATCAGCTTGCATCTCATTTACCACTCTCAGAAGAATAATATTTATGGAGTTACCTGGATCAATCAAAACTTGTTTCACATTAGTATCATGTACAAGTAAAGATATTACCAGTGCATCATTGTGAGGGATTATCAAGCCATCTGCATCTGCATCATCAAACGTTATATCGTCTTCCTCCAAAACATGGTGAACTCGTTTCACATGGGTAACCGTGACTTTTGATGTCTTCTTTGCAGTCGTATATGTCACACCATTTACCTCTTCTCCCTCGCTTATCACGTTAACGTTCTTTTTGGTGATGGAGGTTTCGGAGGCTCTTGTCTATTCTTCATATAAGATTGCTTACTTTTCTCACTAAACAAGTTAGTTAGATAACCTTGTTTTAACAAATGCTCTACTTCACCTTGTAATAATCTGTAATCTGCTGTTTTATAGCCATGGTCATTATGAAACTCGCACCAGAAATCTGGATTTCTTATGCTAGGGTTTGATCTCATTTCTTTCGGCCATCGCACCTTATCTCCCATACTCCTTAGAAGAGCTACCAACTCAGAAGTGCTAATATTGAAACTGTAATCGCCAATCCTTGCATTAGTATTAGCATTATTGCCTCGCGCATCTTGCCTTTTTCCGAACTTGGATAATGAACCGGCATCTCTATGCCTTGATCTAGAATCATACCATAAGTTTTCTTATTTGGACCGTAAATCCCGTCCTGCAGGTCCTGTTATACCTCCTTTTTACACGCTGAGGGGGATATAAGGGAGTTTCTCCAATTAAAGTGACAAAAACCGAAAAAAGATTATTTATTTAAAATTCAGAGTCACCACTTGGGATAATTTATGGTGTCCCAAGTCACCAGTTTAAAATCCCGAATCGAGGAAGTTTGACTCTGTTTTATAGTCTGCGAAACCAGAAAACCGGGTAAGGAATTCTGTTAACCCGGGAGAAGGTGTTAGGGTTCCTGAGTTTCGTGGTTTTAGCAAGGTCACTTTTAATCCTACCCGGCTTAATTAAATTGTTTAATTACATCTTTTAGAACCTATATGAATTTTACCTTTTACCACTTTTAATTACTTGATTATTCGTAATTATCTTGAAACGAGTCACGCGTACGTGTACTCATTTTTTTGGTGCTCAAGAATCATGTCATGCGTACGTGTACACAATTAATCATGTTGTGCTAATATTAAGATTATTTTGTCAAAGTCACGCGAACGTGTACCTTAGTTTTAATGATGGAAATCATAATTATGTTACCCGAACGTATACATAATCAAATTCCTCAAGCATGCTAAGGTTTGCCTACCCGAGCGCTAACGACCTAGCATGCCCGGAGCGGTTCAACTCAAAAACAAGAACAAGGAGTAATGAAATTGTCTTGAGTCCAAACTCTTTTAGTTTTAGTCCAAAAACCTACTACCCACTTTCGTTACTCCTTATTTTCAAATCAAATTAGTACATGCATAATACTACAGCTACCGGGCAACGACATGCCCAAGTATATTGAGTAAAAGCTTCTGAAGCTAAAATAATTTACCATTTTCACGCACATATATAATGGTGCAACAAGAATCAAGGTTATATTATATGGGCAACTAAGACTAAAGAAAGTCAAAAGAAAAGCAAACACACTACTTTGGTTCCCATATGATCCTTAAACTCAGCAGAAAATGTAGCTACTACTACAGAGGAGATTCAATAAGAGCAAAGACAATCTTGGCAATATATAAATTTTCAAATAAAAGTAGTGTGCCCACTCATTATTAATCCTTGATTAAAATTTGGGGCCATTTCCATTGTCAAAATGATGGGTGGTGCCGTTTTCTTTCCTTATAACCAAATTACTCATGTTCCTTTACTTTGTTATAAATCAAACAGAAAACAATACTTGCAAAATAAACTCACAAGGAATCCACACAAGGCTTTTTAATTAACTCAACAAATGGCAAAAATAAATAATTCATAACCTGACCAAATTCAAGATTCAAATCAATTTATTGAATAATCTTATCACAAAGAACATATTTAGGTCCCAAAATCTTTACTAAAGAGATGAGATAAAGAACACACCTTTGAACTTTAGGTCTCAACATAAGCTCAACTAGATGCGATCTTGATCGGAACTTTAGGTGTAAACTCGTTCTGCCAGTGTTCTACCGGGTTGACCCGTCGGATGTGCGAAGGCAGAAGGGACCGTTTCTACATGATTTTGAGAATTTGGAAGGAAGGTTTTTAGTGAAAAAGGTGGTCAGATGGAAAATTGCTATAACATTTGTAGAAGAGGAAAGATAACAAAATAGAAAAAAATGAAAAGAAAGAAAAAGATTGATTAAGGAAAGTTGTTCAAAGAATTTAAGAGGAAAAGGTGTATGTGCTGGTGGCCGGAAAGGATTTGACGAGGAGGAAGTCTGAGAAATTGATTTGGGGTTGGTTTTTCTAATTAAAAGGCTGCCGGTTTTTTTGTGTAGTCTAGGTCTAAGAATTGAAAAATTTAGGGTAGAGTTTCTATAATTTGGTATTTTATATGGAGGTGGGAAGGTATGATGGTCATTGGATTAGAGGAAAATAGATGGATAGGATTAAATCTGGTACTTAAGTGGGCTAATGGGTTGGAATGAATGGGCTATGAGTAATTGAGTTGGACCATATTTTTTGGGTTTGAACTTAGGCTAAAAAGACCAGATAATACAATATATCTATAAAAATGTAAAAATTACTCTAAATTAAAATAAACTAATATAAAACTAAATACTATGAGTGAAACTAATTTTTTTTTTGTATTTTCAAATGTTATAATACTATAAATATAAATATACTAATTAACTTTAACCTAAAGATAAAAAAATATTTTATTTTTTATTTTTTGTGATAAAAATAAAGTAAAATAGTCAATACTATTTAGAATAGCGATACTAAACCTAAATTAAATATTTACGCTAAAATGTGTAAAATCTTGGGGAGGGTCAAAAATTACATGTCTACAGCTGCCCCTCTTTGACTGGAAACACGAAGAATTTTCAGACAAAGAACGATGAGATAAGTCTTTTTGACCCGACCCTTACATAGAGAGACCAAAAACTAAGAGAAAGGAGAGTATGATCGAGCCCTGGTATCTGAGCTGCCTACATATCCTTGGCTATAAAGGAATCAGGTCACGTGTAGTTCAGAAGTGAATGAGGTGATAGAGTGTACCGATGTGGAGAGCCGAGCGAGGTTCCGTTCTGTCGAGGTTCCGGTCCGCGGTCTTATTATTACATCAAAAATCAAAATTGAAAAGACTAACTAAGCCTATCAGCTACGAGTTACAAGATTCCTATCTATGAGCCTTCTGAAGCTTGATCTTGAGTCTTGGTTGATTCTTCATGCGTACTCTGATCTGAATCTTGATGCTTGTTAGCTGCAGGTGTTGGTTCATTCCTTTTTCAACTTTTCGGATCAAGGGGGGGGGGGTATGCAAAGCTTGTGACTTCAATCACGTCTTGTGCAGTCCACATCTTTTCTCCGCTTCTGAACTTTGAGTTCACTTCTTTTTCTTTTTCTTCTTTTTTCTTTTATTTTGGATTGAAACTCCTTCTTTTGGTCTTCTCGAACCCTGTGTCTCGATGTAAAACCTGCTCAGACACCAAAACAAACAAACAAACAAAATTTTTCTGCCCTAGGTTTCACTAGGAAAAATTCGTGAGTTATTGTAACAAAATTCTAAACAACTTCTTTATTGAAAGCAATAAAAGTTAGGATTGTGTATCCTTGGGAAAAAAAGATTAGGGATTGGAGACCCTATATCTAAAATGAAATCGACTGGGTATTTGAGGCCCTAGATTGGAAAGATTACCAGGTTATGCTGGCATCAACTAAGGAATGAGACCCTATGTTGGAAAAGATTACCAGGTTATGCTGGCATCAACTAAGGAATGAGACCCTATGTTGGAAAAGATTACCAGGTTATGTTGGCATCAGCTAGGGAGTGGGACCCTCTATTGGAAAAGATTACCAGGTTATGCTGGCATCAGCTAGGGAGTGGGACCCTCTATTGGAAAAGATTACCAGGTTATGCTGGCATCAGCTAGGGAGTGGGACCCTATGTTGGAAAAGAAGGCTAGGGAATACCTTATGCTAAAATGAACCAAGAAGGAATTTTTTTTTGACAAAAAATATTTTAAAACAAATTGGCCATTGCTTTTTTTTTTCGAGGGCATGAACAAATGACTTTTTTTTAATCCAGACTAGGTTTTTTTTTGTTTTTTTTTGTTATCTTAGGAGAAAGATTCATCAGACTAAGATTTTGATCCTAGGAGAAAATTTATCAGACTAGGTTTTCTATCTTAGGAGAAAGATTCATCAGACTAAGATTTTGATCCTAGGAGAAAGTTCATCAGACTAGGTCTCTTTTCTTCTTCTTTTTTTTGGTATCTTAGGAGAAAGATTCCTTAGACTAAGATTTCTATCCTAGGAGAAAGTTCATCAGACTAGGTCTTCCATCTTAGGAGAAATATTCATTAGACTAAGACATTTATCCTAGGAGAAAGATTCATCAGACTAGGGTTTTATGTATTATCTTAGGAGAAAGATTCATCAGACCAGGTATTTTATCTTAGGAGAAAAATTCATTAGACTAAGATTTTGATCCTAGGAGAAAATTCATTAGACTAGGTCCATTTTCTTTGTTATCTTAGGAGAAAGATTCATCAGACTAAAATTTTAATTGGGAGGAAAATCTATCAGACTAGGACTTTATATCCTAGGAGAAAAAATGTGGAGATCAATGATCAGATTTTATGCACAATAGCAAGACAAATAAAGGCAAAAATTTAAGAAACTTCCCTTTGTCGGCTCTTCTCCTTTTTTCTGTTTTTTCTTTTTGTTTTCTTTTTCTCTTTTTTTAACCACTATCCTTGCCCTGCTTTGTTCCTGTTTCAAATAAAGAAAAATTTGTTAGTTTTAAAAGTGGTGGTCGGTTTGTGGCCTTGAGTCTTAGGCAGCTTGGCTTTTTCTCAATCGGCTTGAGTCAGTTTCAAAAGACTTTTACTCTGCATCAACCCTGACTATTTCAGACCCAGTACCATTTGTATTTGTGGCTCAATCAGCCTTATCCCGATTGGAGATCTTTGCTCAAGTGACCTTTTCTGATATCTTCAGTGACTTCTTGCTTTTGAGCAATTTGTCTGTTAGAGAGAATCACAAGTTATATTTTGCTTGCGCCAAGTAGACTTACAAGAGTCTTTTTGGGGGGAGCCTTTGCATGAATCCTCCAGGCATGTTGAAAGTAACAACCGAGTGCGCTGGCCGAATTTACTTTGTGCAACTGAAAAGCTGGTAGCAGATTTTGAAATCTCTTCTTGCTTTTTTGACAAGGACTGACTCCGAGTGAAGGACACAATGATGCAAAGAAATAAGTATTAACAAGAAATGCCTTTGTCGGATGGATAGAAGGAAGAGTTTTTTTCCTTTTCTATTTTTTTCCAATAACTAGCCTTAATGGTCATGATATTCATTTTGGACTCAACGACCCGATCTATCAGACTAATCCAATCTTCCCTTTTTCCATTCTTATGACCTTTGAAGTCGGGCTTGTTCGTGCCGATCCTTTGCATCGGCTTCATGAATCACTTTCGACTAGTGGTGCCCCGGGGAGTTTGCGCCAACAAGTCTCTCTTATTTATTTACCTCTACTTACAATCGTCTTACAGTGCCCGTGAAGGTTTTCACTAGTAAGACTCTCTTATTTTCTTTTATTTTTATTTTTCTTTTGCTTTCTTGTGCGAGCATCTTGACAGGGTTCTACGTCGCGTGACAACCATTACTCATTGCATGCTTCTCTTGGCATTCTTGATGGCATATCAGAAGGTCTTTATTTGGAAGGATTTTGGACAATGTTGGAAAGAAAGGACGTCATGAAGGCTCAAAATAGGCTCAAAGTAAAGGAGATTATAGACTTACAATTCTTGGAATCGACTTTTTCAAAGGTGAAATAAAATCTCTGCCCCAATTTCATCTATTGGGGATTTTTGGAAATTTTGTTTTCTTTCTTTTTCTTTGAATTCTTATTTGGTTGGATCGAACCGTGAGGCTTCCTACGTATCCCTTTTTTAAGGAATCAGGTCGAACGTAGTTCAAACATCTGACCTAAACTATTTTTCATCTTTCTTTCTGTTTTTTTCTTTTATCTTTTTGTTTCCTTTTGTTTTCAAAACAAGTTGCCCCAGCTTCTATTTTTTGAGGGCATGGACCTTTGACAATTCGTTTACTCTTTTTTTTCACTTAGAACTTTCTAAAAGCTGCCCCAGTTTGTACTCTTGGGGCATGGACTTTTATTGTTATTTTGAAAAGGGCCTCCTAACCTCGAGAACGCCAAACATAGTATCTTTTCGCGATCACAGCATTGACAAACATGTCTGTCTTCTTGGTGTGTCGTGGTCACAAGACACTTTCCATCCCTTAATGTCAAACTTTCCATTAAACTTCAATTGATTAAACATCTTCAAACCCGATCTTCACAATGATTTGAAGGTGAATTTTACTCGACCTTAATTCCAAAGTATTTCAACTCTTTATTCATCCTCAAAAGTGTTTTTTTCCAGCTATCCAATTATAGATTAAGTCAGTTCCTAAGATCTGGCCAAAATGTCCGCATGCATGTCATGTCATTAGAACGAACGGAAAAAGAATTAAGAACAGAATGACACAAAAGGACAAACTGTATTTTATTGAGTAAAGGATGAAAGGGTTTAAAAACAAGACAAACAACCTAAGATCCGAGTTACAACCCTAAAATAATCCGAATAATGAAAATAGCAATAGAACAAACGGACAAGACTCACATAGACAGAATGGAGATAGAAGGGTTTGACTCAATAAAACAAATAAAATCTACATCACAACCCTAAAATAACCCAGATAATAGAAAAAATATCAAAAAAGCTACCAAGATTCCTTCCTAGTGAGGAGGGAATGACTTTTCAATTGCTAAGCTTGACATTTAGCCAAAAATTTGCTCATCAGAATCACCATGGCCTTCTCCAATTTCAGTCGGCAAGCTCCCAAGAGGATTTTCATACTCCATGTCACCAGGCATCATCCCCATAAAGTGTGCATCATCATGTGCAGGTAAAGGATTCTGCACGATATTCTAGGTGTCACTGCCTTGGATCACAATCAACTTTTCATGGATCATCCTTTCTATTTCTCTTTTCAAATCCCGATAGTTTTCAACATTGTGTCCCTGGGCATTGGAATGGTATTCACACCTTTTAGAAGGGTCAAACCTTCTTGCACGTGGGTCCACATGATTTGGAGGAATAGGTGCAATCATGTCATAATGCTTTAATTTCTCAAACAAGCTTGCATAAGACTCTCCTATTGGTGTAAAATTATCTTTCAATCTTTATTTCCCGTTATACCCCTAGCTTGGATGTGGGTAATAGGGCACTTGAAAATTTTATGGAAGTTGGTGGAGATTTTGTGATG